GGGGGGCAGGCTTGCAGGGTATACCCTTTGGAGGGGATTGTAACCATGGCAATGAAACGATATAGGATAGAATGAATGTAAAACTAATGTTCTCCCATGTAAACTATCACATAATTCACAATAAAACATTAAAAATAAAAAAGCCCCAACAATTCGTGTTACCTTTTATATATCAGTATCTTTATAAATCTGATCTTTATTTGCCATTGGAGGTTAGCACGAGAATGTCAACATCAGCAAATTACATGTCGCAACACTGTATGTAAAATACATATCACCAACGATCAGATGTACCAAAAAACAACAGCAACAAAGAACAGATGGTGGAAAGTGTGGTCTGTCACTGCTCAATTGCATTCTAAGTTGGCAACTAATTATTTTTAAACGATGAGAGTGCTCTTATTAAATAAGAGTTCTCAATGTACATGTTTTATAGCAGCAGGCACCAATGGTAAGCAAGGAAAGAAGAGCTGTTCAATGGAAAGAATGTGGTAAGGAATCAAAAAATACAGCAGTGACCAAAGTGGGAGTAGGAGCCAGGGACACTGTGATACACCAGCCTCAGAAACTGAGAGGAAATGGATGTGTGTTGGAGCAGATGAGGGATGGTGAGCAGAAAATTTGGTTCCTGGAGGGTAATCCTGATCAAGATTCACTTCTAGGAATCCTGCCGCATGGAACACTTCCCACCCAGTATAAACTATAACCTCCTTTTAAACAGTGGGAAAATAGAAATTTTTCAATTTCCACCAATTATAATATAAAAAGGAATATATTCCTTTACTAAATGTGAAACTCCACAATACTATAAGAAGCACTTTCAAGCACTTCATATGTTTTATTTCATACACTCCTCATAAGAATTCAATTATTAGACTTAGTCCCATTTCAGGTTCAGAGAAGTTAAGTAACTTGCCCAAGGTCTTCCAACTAGAGCAGCTACAAAGTATGAGGTACATCAACCAATACTGAAAAGATGTCCAAAAAATATTTCATTTAAAAGAATGAGCAAGTTGCAAAATGGTAAGTTTAATATCCCATTTAAAAATTGTTTAAGTATGCTTGTTCACACATAGAAAACGACTTGGTGCAATAGATCAAATTACGACTAGTAGTTATAACTTTCACTATCTTGTTGTTAAGTGCCATCGAGTTGGTTCCAATTCACAGGGTTTCCAAGGACCACCTGGTGGGTTTGGACTACCAACTTTGAGGTTACATTCCATTGCTTATCCTACTATGCCATACCAGGACTCTTTTGAAATCTGTTACTTTGACTTTAGAACATGTTAACACAAATTGACATCTCTGCAACAGTTTTCTTTAAAGGAAAAAAATACTGTAGATATTATTCAGATTCACTCCTTTTCCTTTCATTTTAAAGACAACTACTAGCCTGAAACTGGATTACTTTTATATTGTTTGTTGTTGTTAAGTGCCATTTACTCTGGTCCAACTCTTAGCGACTCTGTATAGGATTGCCGGGGCAGAAAATCTCTATGAGAGCAGAAAGCCTCATTTTTCTCCCATGGAGCAGCTGGTAGATTCAAACTGCTGATCTTGCAGTTAGCGGTCCAGCACTTTAAAAGTCAGGAATAAAAATAAACCTAGACTTGTAAAAACAAGTAAACTTACCCCCAAACAAAAACCATTTTGTTGTAATTTAAACCCAAAATGTATGATTTAAGACTCTTCGGATTCAAAACACTCCACCTATAACTGTATTTCCAGACAAAACAAACATAATACAGCAGCCAAATCAAACTCTGTAGTAACAGGTTCTGCTCTATTGTTGCTTCCAGACTTCTCTGTAACCTTCACAAGATTAGTGATATTCCCACCTACCATGCAAAATGTGATGTCATCCATGCCAGACAATTTTGGAGACTGCAAAGTGGTCAAAAATGTGTGGAAACAGATATTTTGGTAAGGCTCATCCAAGTATGGTTGTCCTGGCACACTAAAACACACGGAGAGTAAACAGTTCAAACTCAGTCTCCTTTGAAATGAGCTTACAAAAAAATAAGAACTAAAAATAGCAGTAGTTCAGAAGAACTGAGTTGTAATACACCTGCAGCGCAGTGAATTATTATGTCTCTTCTTCTAGCCATGTCTTTGTAACTCCTACCAAATGACGTCCCCCCGCAATGGGTCTGGGTAAGAGAAGGTGGGGGAAGATGCTAATAGGATTATATATTTGGTTTGAATGGTTACTTAAGAGTTAATTGTGATAGTAAAAATCTAACGAATGGCTTAGTTAACTTTGCCATTCTGCTGTTTATAAAAATGAGCCAATTCAGAAACAGAAGGGGAGATACCTCACTACCATCAAAGAAGAGCCAGGAGAGCATCCTTTGGAGCCTAAGAGTCCTGTGCAGTGAACCTCCTCGTCCCAGGGACCAAAAGCTGTGATGCTGAAGGAGTGGCAGAGGAGGAGCAGCAGCAGCAGAATCAAGAGCCAGAGCACAAGACAGAGCTAAGGGCTTTCCAGCTCACAGAACAAGTGCCTTTGCGCAGAAGACTCACTTGTGGAGTGGAGTGTCTCTAGGCAATTAACTGGGGAGCTAGGTGGTCTTGGTGGTTTGCTAATCCATGAAGCTAGAACTGAGTGCCTTTGGGTTGAGGTTTATTATGGAGTGGCGTGCCCTTTGAGTATTTATCAGCAGCCCTAAAGGAGCTTTATAACACTGTTGGAGCAGGGGAGAGACCAAGAGGCCCATGACTGAGAAGCCAAGGATCAGAGAGAGGCCTGTCTGTGGGCATGATTGGGAAGAGG